CTGACCATGGAATAACTAACAGAAGAAAAGAGATATAAACTAACCTTGTGTATTGTCCTCCTGTTGGAGTTAATGGGAGCTTTGCCATTGGCCTCAATGCTTATGAGTACATAGCAGCGGGGAGGTGTGATTCCCAGTGCGGATAGACAGATTTGCTCCAGCTAGCATGCTAAAAATAGCATTGTGGATGTTGTGGCACTGGTGGTGGCTCAGGCTAACCACCTGAGTCCAAGCCGGCCTGACTTCCAGGGTCCAAATTCAGGTGGCTCGCCCTGCCAGTGCCATACTGTCTACACTGCTATTTTTAGTGAACTACCTCAAGCTGAGTTAGCCCAAGTATGTCTCCCCACGCTGGGAATCACACCTCCCAGCTGCAGCACAGACATAGCCAATGGGAGCAGAACCAGACCTTTTGTCTCCAAGACTTTTTGAAAGAGGATGGCAAATTAGTTAATTTAAGGATATATTTCCCTGATCCATATGGAAAACTAGGGTTAGATTGTTGTGACTAGCCTTTGGGTAGGTGCGTGGCAGTGAGAGACACTCCTCCTCTTGCATGCTCCTCAAAAAGTCCAATCCCTCCCTTGGTCCCCCTGGGACAGTGTGACTCTGCACCACTCAGGGCTATGCCTTTAAAGGCACAATCTAGCACTGAAAGGTTTAAAGCCAGTAACCAATATATTAATTGCATCATCAAATTTTACTGTCATTGCTAAGACTCTTATCCTCTATGACACCTAATGAGAGAGTGCACACTGTCTGGGGCGGTGATTACTTGACAAAATGGAGAGATTAAAGCATTAGTCATTACCTGAGCAGATGGGTCATTGCATAGGGCCTTAAGCCAAGAAATAAACATATCAATTAAGTCACATTTTGGAAGGTATAAAGTATCAGGATAAAGTCCTAAGTATCTATAAAGATTAATAAGGATCTAATGTTATGGTGTAACTATATGCACATTGGATTAAGGTATATAATATGCATAATGTATCACCATCTTTTCTCCATTTATAAACTTTGCTTGGTCAACATTGTTATTTCTAGATCAGATTCTGTGGGCCATATGGTCTTCTGTAGGAATTGCCTGCTTAGGAGACTGCAAACTCCATGAAGTGCCTTATCCACTAATTGCTGATTATCTGGTACAATTCATACTGTTTTACAGATACTCTGATACAGTATTTGATTCATTGTTTCATGCATGCATTATGAAGACAGATTGATGTTACTGCAGATAAATTGGCACTGATTAGCTTTTTTAAATTTGGACTCATTGCTGCAGTCCAAAATATAGAGCTACAGTGATATTTGATGATCTAGCATATGACAGAGATATGCAGGTTGACTATTGAATAACTAGTTCTTTACAGCTATGAGTTTAAACATTGTCTAGATATTTTCTCAAGTACATTCCAAATCAAATACTTTATCTCATTGTTTATATTCTGTGGCATGTTATTTTACTGATTGGTTGGTTAGAACCAAGACCAGAATTAACTGCTTGCTTTTACTTTTTGAAGTGTAATATAGTTTAGAGTTACAGTAGAACCTCAGAGTTACTAACACCTGAGTTACAAACTGACCTGTCAACCACACATCTCCTTTGGAACTGGAAGTATACAATCAGGCACCAGCAGAGAAAAAAAAATTAAAAAGTAAATACAGTACAGTACTGTGTTAAATGTAAACTATTAAAAAAAGTAAAGGGAATCTTTTTAAAAATATATTTGACAAGGTATGGAAACTTTCTGTGCTTTTCATTCAAATAAAAATGGTTAAAATCAGCATTTTTCTTCTGCATAGTAAAATTTCAAAGCTATATTAAGTCACTGTTCAGTTGTAAACTTTTGAAAGAATAACCATAATATTTTGTTCAGAGTTTTGAACATTTCAGAGTTATAAACAATCTCCATCCAAAGACAGTAAAATAACTGTCCAAATATAACGTTTTCTTTACTTTCTTCTTCATAGATAGGCCACTATAGCACATGAAGAGAAAGTGAACACAGCCATTGGAAGGGTGGGTCCCTGAATTGGGGAAAGGTGTGATCCCACTCAGTGGGTAGCTGGACTGTGTGGAAGGTGATGGAATTCCCTTAGAAATCTTTAAGGTCAGTTCTACTCTTAAAAGTGATTCTGTTAGCCTGGCATTGTGAGGCTCCGTGTTTAATCTCATTGATTTCCATGCCAAATGTGCTCAGTTTACAACTTCGAACTTCCTTTCCTGCAAACTCAATTTCGGATCTCAGAATGGAGATGGGCTCACTCTTATTCACCACCCGTAATGAAAGTTCTTCCAGCCAAATTGTGCCCTTGGCGATACTCTTAGAACAGTTTTCTCTATTGTTCTAGTAGCTCTGCTGTTAGTGACTGTGGAAGTGGGAACAGAAGTAGCAAAGATTGGCAGAATGTCATCATTTAACATTGCCACCTCACACACATAAATTATTAGCATTTTATCTGAATTGCAATCTATTAAATACTGCAGCTTAAGCATTATTACTAAGTAATGCATACCCATATGCTTTAACCGGTTTAATAATTTTTGGTGATGAAAAATAATGTATACGTGAGCAGCAAGATGAAATAGCAGAAATAATGATGGCTTTTCATACTGCTCACTCTTTTTGAAATACTGCAGACTGTAATGGTTTTCAATAGTAGAGCTACAGTTTTTAATCCTTTATGGATCTTCTGATCTGATCCTTTCCTTAGCACTGGCCTGGTTGTACGCACATTAGGGAAATCTTGTGGCTGGGCCACTTTTCACTTTAAACCAGCAATGTTTCTTGCTGCTGATTTGATTTGATGTTTTAAATAGAAAACAAAATTTGCACAACCTATTGAAAGCTGCAGCTGGGTTGCACTCTTACAATAAAAGCCTGCCAGTTTAAAAATAGAAACTTGTTCCACTCATGGATTAATTTGTATCCTAATCCACTAATACACTGTGCCACATAGCTCCACTGCCCACACACAGACTGTGTACAGACAAGGGTAAAGCCAGGGCAGATATATTATTTTATATTGTATTTCTTCCCTGTCTAAGTATTAATACAGCTTTAAACTGGAACAAATAATGCAAAAACCTTCCATAAATACAACATCGGTCGTAGTTACTTGGACCCTAATATTTATATAGATGTGGCATTCTAAAAATGTTCTGGGGTTCAATCCAAATCTCACTGAAGTCTATAGAAAGACCCCCATTCAGACTGGATCAGGCCCCTAATAGGCATTCGTTTGCTGTCATCCTATATTTGTTTTGTTTGTTATAGCATATAATGGTATGAACTTTGAGATACGATTTGCCTCTAAATATACTTGTGTGTCATTCATAAAAGCTAAATACACCTTGTTTGGGGAGTCCTCCAGAATTTCCCCTTTACCATGTGCACACTCGTACAACAATACAAGGTTTAGTACTCTAAAGCCGTGGTTCGCAAACTTATTTGATCACGCCCCCCTTCTTTGTGTCTGTAGTTTACACCCCGCCCCCGCCATACAAGTACATATACAATAAAAAAAATCAAAATGCAACTCTCCCTAAATATTAAAAACAGCAAGGCATTGATTCAAACAGAGCCAATGATCCATTGTAATAAGAGCAAAAGCAAAACTGTGATTGTGGTCAATCCTTACAATTAAATGTTCACACCATGTCACAGCAAACGGATTAGTGTACAGATGGCAATGACTTTGTATAATGCTATGCGAGCCTAACCAAAATCTGTGAAAATGCACAGCGCCATCTGAGAACCTGATATGTCTGGAGGAATCAGCTATGCTAGTCATTCAGTGCTGTGGGTAAAATGTGTGCAGTACATTTTTTTCCCCCTTAAGCATCTCATGCCCCCCCAGAATACATTCCATGCCCCCCAAGGGGGCCTCCCCCAGTTTGAGAACTTCTGCTTAAAGCAAATGTGAGCATTTACAATGGTCTAGTCTTGCTACCCTTACTTAGGCAAAACTCAGGCCAAATTCACTCCTGCTGTATCTCTACTCAAGTCACTGGAGTTGCATGTAAGATGAATTTGGCTCACTGGGAGTTGTGCTTAGCATGAACTGCAGGATCAAGCCTATTATATGTAAATAGATGAAGATTCATGTCAAGGTATTATTGTGGTTTTTAAAATAATTACAATCTACAGGCTAGATCATAGGGATTGGTCATGCACCTGGCACAACTCAGGGAGTGAGAAAGGGATGGGTGCAAAAGTGGCTGTAAGCTACCCTTGCCTTTCCCCATTCTAGCACCACCAAACATTTAGTGGATCAGCAGTGCAAGTTAGAGCACCCTTAGGGCTGCTCTATCATACATTCCACTCTCTATGCCTCCCTTCTCCATGCATTGCTCTGGAAGCCAGGGATCAGCTGGAGGTTGTTGCTCACTGGTTATGTCCCTTTTAGTCTTATATACCTCCTGCAAGAGGACTGCAAGATGTGGTGGTATAGAGCTGGCTAAACTAGCCCTATGCTATTCAGGGATTCCTCTGTGTGAAGGAGACCCACAAAGCCAGAGAAGATGGTTTTGAAATTTCTTTGTACCACTGAAATGGAACAAAGAAGCCTTAATTGAGAGGCAGACTCCTGCCCAAGATATACTGACACTTCATAAAATAAATTTTATTTCACAATTTACAAAAAAAACCTGGAAGCTTGAAACTGATGTCTCTTTGCTTACCAGTTTTTTTCCTCTCTTCCTTGCATGCACACTGCTTTGCTGTAGGGTTGTACACAAGTACTGTGCTGCCGGCATTGATCTCTTTCTCACTTTTTGGTTGATTTGTTTTTAGGAAAATGGGAGCATATTTAAATGTTTGCTTAGGGGAAAATGCCCTCACAAACAGCTAAAAGTAATTGCATGGAGTTTGTAAACAGATGTAAGAAATAAATGGTACAGTAGGCTAAATATTGGACTAATAGTCTTTGTTAGTAATGTAAATTAGATAATAGAAATAATATAGACTCAGATACAAATGCCTATTTTTTGCTTTTCAAAAATCATCCAGGACTGGGTAAATGAAGTTGTCCTTGAACAAGCAGTATGCTAAAACCTGTCCTCCACAAATCATCAAAATTAAGCCAGATCCTGAAAGGAAATGTAAGAATATTCTGTATTAATATTGGCATATAATATTTACAAGAATAATTAAACTGATCCTATTTTTATAAGCAACCGTATTTAAAGAGAGTAGTTTTTGTTACTCACACACTTCTCTGGTATTACAAAGAAGAAAGTGAAACTCCTCATGCCAATGACTTTGTTTTTTCATTTTGAAAACAACATTGATTTTTCTCTTTCATTTCTAATAATGAGACCTTTTATTCTTATCTTTTTGGCCTGATCCCTCAACTGGCTCTGTATGGTCACTGGTGTCTATGCAGAACAAGTTGCAGGATTTTGTCTGTGCACTGCTGTCACTGAGGGTTTCAGCACAGCTTGGCATTCTTAACTGCTCCTGAAGAACTGGCTTCCACAATTTTTCTAAATCTCAAAGTAATGGATTCCCATGTAGAGGGCAGGGATTCCTAATCTTACACTGAAATCAGTGGGAGTTTTGCCTTTCACTTCAATGGAAACAGGATAAATCAGGACCCGAATCAGGCTCACCTTACAGTTGCAGTCCTGTTGACTTCATACTGTTCGGTACAGTCCAATAGATCTGTAAATGTGACTTATTAATGTACATAAGGTGAGCAGGATTTGGCCCTAGAATATAAATTTTAAGGCTTGACAAATGTTAGGTCAGAACTATTTGACTGAGTCCTTTTTAAAAATAGTATCAACTATTTGGAGCACGTTACCATCTTTCTTGTTTGTTTAAACCTGTTACGCTGTGCATGAGGTCACACACAGACAGGTTCAGGGTCTCTTCTCCCTTCCAAAGTCCTTTTGCTACTTGAGAAATTTACTCCAGCCTTTCTGAGTTCTCCACTGTGGGGGTCTCCCACATAAGGGTACATTCAGTCTCTGAGTTTCCTAAAAAAGCTCTGGTTTATTTATATATGGCAGCCTGGCACAGCTGGACTCCCAGTCAGGTTTTATCTTCAACCCCTGCCCCACAGTCATCAGCTTGTCCTGGTCTGGTAAGTCTTTGTAAGTGGGGGAGGTTTGTCAGCTCTTTCCCTCTCTGCTATGAGCTATAGCAAGAGTCAGCTATTTCAGAAGCACGGCAGCTTTTTCTTCCTAGTTACCACTTACCATACCCTCCTGTGACAAGCTGCTTCTTAAGCTTGCTTCCTCTAGCTGGAGCAGGCCCTGCAGAAGGGCCTATTTGGTAGTGTTTGAGCCCAGAGGATTTCATTAGCCTTCTTCTGATTGGGATGGGGGTGTCCACCATCACATACCATACCATACATTTGATAGAGAGGGAAATCTCATAACTGGAACTGGATGAATAATGGATGTTTCAACATTTTCAGTGAATCAAAAAGTAAAAAAAGTTTAATTTAGATTGAGTGTTTTTAAACATTTTTCATTTAAAAAAAATCTAAAGGAACTTTCCAAATGGAAAGTCATTAGAAAAAATTAAAATGTTTAATTTTGACAGGAGGTTTTTTTTTTGTTTTTGTTTTTTTGACTAAATGTTTCTGTGTCATTGAATCTACATTGAATCTACAGGTTTGATCAAAAAATTTCACCCAACTCCATTCATAACTACAAATACTATGAATCTACACAGTTTGTGATTATTTCAAAGTTAAATAATTGACCTGTACCTAAAGCCATCCACCAGTGCAACATCAGAGGGAATTCAGACATAACTGTAAAATGAAAAACATTACATCATAAATTATTTTAGGGTTGTTTCTCACATGAAGAAAAGCTGAGTCTTCTAAAATAAAAATATAAATGTAGATACAGTTACTAACATTGTAAAGTCTAATGAAATGTAAGCTCAGATCCTGCAAACACCTGCCCACTTGACTAACTTTACTACTGTGAGCTGTCCCATTGAAAGTTAAATACAGGTGTAATTATTTGCAGGATTGAGGGCTTAAAATGTAAACTCTGAGGCAGAGACTGTCTCTCTTTCGTTATATGTTTGTACAGTACCTAGCACATCAGTGGATGCTGATCTCACAGAGCCCCAAAGCAACATCAGCTAGATTCACAAATGAGATGTAAATGTTGCAACACCTACAGCTCAATTCACAAAAGGATTTAGGTGCCTAACTGCCACTTTAGGTGCTTAAATCCCAGAATCCGGCCCCATCAGGATTCACAAAATCCCCACTCAGCAGCCTCAAAACTCTGTAGGCATCTAAAATCACTCAGCAGTAACAGTTTTTGCAGTAACAGTTCCTTTAGCACCTATGTTTCTGCAGCACAAATAAATAATAATAATCTAATTATTTTGTTTTATTTTCTTAAAGAAGATCTGAATAAGATACATAAGATAACCATGGAAACCATCCTCCTTGGTAACTCCGATATGGTACAGAGTTATTGTAATTTTCCTTTAAAATGATTGTTTCTAAGGAAGGAGAAAATTATTTAGCAGGATTAACAGGGATATAAACTGCAGTGATGGGATGAAATCCAGTAAAGGAAATATTATACCCTGATCCTGCAAGGAGGTATTCCAAGTGGAACTCATTGCAGGATCAAGGTTTTTAGTCTGTATCAGGAAATTGATCCTAATAGTGAAGTCTATTGATCTCTAGAACAATTTCTCATGGGAAATGGTGAAGTCCCATCTCCTGGGATATTTAAAACCAAACTGGACAAAGCACACAAATAATAACCGGAACCATTGTGCATTGGGAGGGATAGGTGATCTAATACTTCTTTCCTATTTCTAATTTCTAGGATAAATATAATAGGATGGATAGGCGAATCCCCTAAAAAAGCATTGTGATGGGATCAAGAGACCCCATGTTGGCTCTGGCAAGGATGGGGTTAAACATCTCTCCCAATCACCCATCCCTGCTAACCAGCATGGGTAGATCAGCGGGTGTTCCCAGCAAGAACTGCTGATGAATCTCATTTGCAGCATGCAGCTCTTTCCTCAGAGGAAAGAGAGAAAGTGACAAGTGAGAATGCTGGAGCAGATCGTAGACTCTGTTTTCGTTGTTGGGACTTAGCTGAAATGAGCCCCAACTTAGACCTTTTGTGTTGGACTTGGCCGAGGCAAGCTTCAGTATTACATTGAACTATGGCAGGGGTATTTATGTTTGAGCCTTAAAGGGACAGGGCATTGAGGGCAATATTACTTCTTTGGTTTTATAGCAGTGCACACCCTCCAAGCTGAAACTGCAGACAGGCTGCCCTGTTGCCAATACAACCTCTAAATACACTGCAAGATAATTTAACATTTGGAAGTTGTTGCAACAAAAATGTAATAAGATTTTTAAATGGCAGTAACTCATCTACATGTGACGCTTGAATGCAAGAAAGATGAAAATTTGAGGGAGAAACTTGAAGAAAAAAGGCAAAATTAGTCCAATAAAAAAATTAGATCGATAGTATTTGACTAGCTCTATTCAATTTACTGTACTGCACATATATTTAATAACATGCTCACTTACCAGCTGCAGTTATGATAATATGAATAGCAGTAACTGTTATAGCATAATCCCATACCCATTCTTCCACAATCAGGACAAACAGCAGTCCACAAATAAAGTAGGTTATCTCCAGTGAAACCAGGAGAACTATAAAGGAAAACAGGGAATTTACTCCAAGCAGAGTTTTGGAAGGGTGGTTCCCATCCTTGTAACTAATGGCAATAGGAAGTTCTGATTTCTGAAGTTAACCTGTGGCCTGGTCTACACTAAAAAATTAGGTCAGTTTAACTACCTCAGTCAGGGGTGTGAAAAATATGCAGCTGATCAACAAGTTCTTCCCCTTAATGGCTAAGCTATATCCCCACTCCCCTGTGTGGAACAACATGGGCCATATTGTGCCATCAGTTTGTAATGCGAGATCCCCACTGAAGCCAATGGTAGTTCTTAAAAACCAATGGTACAATCACCCAGTGGCTCCTTAGTGGAAACAATAGCCGCTATAATGAGGAGGGACAGGAATAGTGTCAGGTTATCCTATATGTTAGGTTTTTACTTTCCTCCCCGTGCAGTGCAGTGGAGGGGACCTGTAGTGGGGCAACTGCCCCACTCCCGCAGAACAGGGATTAAAAGCAGCCCTGGAGAGGGCTGTAGCTAGGAAAAGGCTGGGAGGCAGCCAATCAGGGCCAGACTGGGCCCTATAAAAGAGCTGCAGGGCCAGAAGGCAAGGGAGTCTCACTCTGGCCTTGGAGGGAGATGGGCCTAGCTGCCTGGGGGGCAGGGTACTGGACAGTGCTGGAAAAGGGCAAGAGGAGCTTGGAAGCTCCAGCCTGGCAACTCCCCAGGCTGTGGCCTTAGTCAAGGCCTAAACAGGTACTGGAGCCTGCAGGGATGTAGCCTGGGATTAGGCGGAGGCAGCTAGTCCAACCTCCTGGCCAATGATGAGTGGCCATTACAAACTGCAGTCTGCCCCAGTGAGCAAGGCCTAGATGATGACTGGCAGTAGCCACTGAGGCAAGGTGGGTTTAGAGGGTTGGGGGTTCCCCAGGGAGGGGAGACCCAGAGAGTGGGGATACTGCTGGGGCAGAACCCCAAGGTAAAGGGCACCGGGGTCCTGCCAGCGGCACGCGAGACACCTGGCCAGCAGAGGGTGCTCTGAGGCTGGAAAGAGCTAATTCCCAGATAACCAGCAGGAGGCGCTGCGCCGGTGAGTCATTGCTTCGCTACAGGACCATAGGTTCCCAGTCTAAATATGAAGCAGTGACCTAGAAGGGAATGGCTCTATATTTCATTACTAATCAAAAATCTCTGTTACAAAGTTTCTTTTGGGGGGAGGCGGCAAGCGGGGGCAGGCAGAAAACATTCTGGCTATTTCTCAGTTACCCAACAACAAAAAATGAAGTACAGTCCACTGGTTTTAATTTATAATTTGGTTTTATAACTTGAATGTGCCTTTGTTTTTATGCTAAAATGGCACAGAACTATTGTCTATATTGAAAACTAGTAATGTTGGGTTTGTTTGTTTTTTAAACCATAACTTTGTATATGATAGTGTCTGCTGCAGATGAGCACAGTTATGTGCTAGATCGACAGGAAGACATCACTAAGTAGGATCTGAATGGACAGACATATTCCTTAGTATCCTAACTGTCCATAAAATAAAAATAAAGCTGTCTTTTAAGAAGTCACTATTATGGATTTTATAAATGTAACGGTTCTACAGCAAAACCAGTTAGGAAAATGAAACATGTTTTTAAAGAGCCAGTATTTAATCTGAAAGTAATTTAAGGCCCTGATCCTGCATATCCTTATGCATGTACTTAATATTAAGTATGTGACTAGTGCCACTGAAGTCAATGGGACTACTCATATGCATAAATGTTTGCAAGACAGGGCCCCACAGAATGGGCCATAACAGCTACTTTGTAGATGGTAGGGTTCTTTCAAAATATAATACATTCTTTTTCTTTTTAAAGGGACATGGTCAACTTAAAAAAATCATACTTCAAATGTTTATCCTACCGTTACTGCAAGTAACAGTTAAGGTTACTATGACAAAAAGAGAGTAGAGAAAAATATTTTTGTTTCTTCAGTTTAATTTGTGCATTTGTATATTGTCAGTTTCATTCTTTCCCTTATATAATAATTTTTTTAATTTCCACTGTTGTTTTTGCAGATCTTTCACACACAGCAATGTGGGCGAGAGAAAAAAATTAAAAATCAGGAAAAGGTGATTGTAAAACCACATACCCAAAAAATGACAGAAACACTTGTGTGAATGGAGTACCCGAAGCTCTTTTTAGCTCTTTTTTCTTTAATTGACTAGACTTCAAGTTGATTGTGTCCCTTTAAATTTTACTAGTCATTTTAGTGCTCATGAAAATGGGTAACTAATTTGAGCCAGGTGTAGTGCAGGGAGGTGCTGTATAAGCTTCCCAACACCTCAATCTTGACGTCTAATCTCCATTTTCAGCTTCAGGCTTCTCTTTTCTTCGGTCACAACTCGGTTTTGTAATGTGCACAAGTGAGGCCCGCTATAAGATGAGCAAGATCGCATTCATTTGTGACCTCAGTCCTACACTTGAATCTTCTCTATCTCTGTGTCAACAGACCTTCAGCAGCTATTGTTATAGTTTTTGTTTCACACTGTTCTGCTAACAGATAAATGCTTTCCAAACTAGGGTGACCAGATGTCCCAATTTTATATGGACAGTCCCGATATTTGGGGCTTTGTCTTATATAGGGTCCTATTATCCCCCCACCTCCCATCCCGATTTTTCACGCTTGCTGTCTGGTCATCCTATTCCAAACAGAAAAGAGACTAGTGAACTAAACCATTAATCTCCCAGTCAGATTTAAAAAGGGATCTTATTAGTGAGTTAAGGTACCCACCAGCTAGACAAATTGCATTGCTACCACGTTAGGCACATATATAGTGGTCAATGGTGTAGTTTTTCTATATCACGTAAATTTAAACATTATCGGAATCTGAAAAAATAGCTCAGAGTTAAAATAGTCTATTTTTTTTACCCAAATTGGCAGAAAGCTTTTAAATACAATTGATAATGCAACCATGTCCTCAAAACAGTACAGTTTTGGAAATTTGGGGAAATATTTCACCCCAGATTATATCTTGTATGTATTTTCCCATACTTTTTTGCCTTTTTGTCTGTAGTCTCATGACAGTATGAGCTTGTTTGTACCATGTTCCAGTGTGGTCATGTGGTTTATGATAGATGAGGTGGTGTAAATGTAGTAGAGTCAGACTCCTGGAGGAGGAGAAGCCAGATATATCTCATGCCCTACTTGATAGACAGGGAGCAGTATACTGGACTGCCAGACCTTTCAGTGGTGTACGGCACAACATGGCTATCAAGCAAGGTCTCAACAAGGACTGTGGGAAGCATCAGCATCTTTGCACAAAGGAGAAGGCTCTGACCAAGTATTACCTGACTGTGCATTTTACGGCAGCTATAACAGCTATGAAACAACAGATGCGTGGAATGCAGCCTTCAGCAACAGATCTCCACAAAGAAGCTACCACAAAGTGCTTGACTACAGATGACTCTGCTGTCCGAGATATAAAAAATGTGACTGAAAGAATGACAAATTCTTTTAGCACTGAACCTGAAACAAGGCCAGACAACAGATTGTACTTGCAATACTCACAAGTGGCTATGTCTGCTGTGTACCCCACCTGAAATCGCAGAAAGTTTGTGCATGATAAGAGAGACTGGCACACAAGAAGTGAAGCAGTTTGTAACCAGTAGGCTGCAAAGGGATGAGATAGATCTCTTTGATCCCATAAAAAGGCATCATCTCAAATCATTTGGTAATCTCAACAAAACAATTGAACAAAAGAAGCACAAGCAATTGGTTGTCAGATATTGAGCAAGCTGACAGTTATTGCCCAGTCCAGAGATGCTGATATCCAGGGTTTGATGAAGTATGAGCTGGCACCTGTCCCATTTCCATCTTTAGCTTGAACAGATCGCTATGAAAGACCCAAAAGAGCAACACGCTGGCTTGGCTGGAGAAAAATCAATCAATGTTTGAGCTATCCGCATCTGATGAGCCAACATTAGCTATTATACATGGTATGATGCTGCTGCAGATGGTGTGCACTGATACTGCCAAGTGAAAAACTTTTGGGGAGCTGTCTGATCAGGTGTTAAATATTATCCTTGGACTAAAATGTCAATACATTGCTGTTGTTGGTGACAATTTTATGCAAATGAAGAATCAATCAAATCTGGTGAGAACCTGCAGAGGAAATGTCCAAATGCAAGAAGTTCGGAACCCCACTGTGTTAACACCACTACCAAAGCAAAACTTGAAGATGATATCAAATCCACAGAACAAATCAAACATTGCAAACTTTCTCCTCCAGGGAATTGGATTGTGAAGCGTGACCAGAGATTTCCACCTGGTCATGAAGTGTATTTTGCTGGTGGGTTTCACATCATTGCATAAGCAGTGAAAGTAGCACCTGGCACCCACTCTGCAATACCAAAATTCGAGGCAGAAGACAAGGAAGCATATTCATGCTATTTTTGTATGTTGCTCATGCAAAGCAAATACTTGGATTAAACAGGGTGCTAATGCGGAGCTTGGACACTGATGTTGCATCTACATGCCCATCTATTCTTGGGATAGATTAATTCTATTTCAAAACTGGTGTTGGCCAAAAGAAGAGATTCATTTTCATGCATAGAATGACTATGGAGCTGGGAAGAGACTTTGGCAGTCTTATTCTGCCAAATATTCATGCTTTCAGTGAATGTGACTCTACTTCAGTTTTCAGTGTCAGGGGGAAAGAGAGATGTCTGAAGACAGCAGCTGAGTATAGAGCTAAAGGAGGGTCTGAAACATCTTGGGAGCAGTGCATCTCAGTTAGAGGAAGAGACAGACGCAGCCTATGTCTCACTGGTATCTTGATTGTACTGTGGTAAGAAGCAAGCATCTTCAGATAACGTGTGCTATAAATTGTTTGCTAAGAAGAACAAAACAAGTGAGAAACTACTATCAGCAATGGACTCCTTCAGGCACCACCTGAAATGTGCAAATTATCAGTCATATATGTAGTCATGCAAACAGTTCATATCTTCAAGTGTCCCCTGTCAGCAACAGATAAATGATAGATAGCATTGGGCATCTTGTTCCTAAAATAATGGTACTGCCACCTACTTTAGAAGCCATCCTCACCTTTGTGCAGCACAGCTGTGAGAGTACCTGTGCAACAGGGAGATGCAAATGCCACAAGGAGGGTTTGGTGTGGTCCAATATATGCAACTCTGAAAGTGACAAGTGTGGCAACAGAGTACTGTATACATCAGATGCAGAGTCTGAGGGGGAGTAGAAATGTTTCAACAATCTGCAAAGTACTGTGACTATTCTGTGGGTAAATATAGCTTGAAGCAGTGTTGCATTACACATTCAGCAGCTCATAGTTACACATAGGGGTTACATAAGAGTACCTGGTTATACTTTTGTTATTCACACGATATTCACACAAGACATTCTACACCCTTACGTGAATTGCCATTGTATTCAGTGATCATTGCAATTATACCAGGTGTGCTTTCTGCTTATGTCTCCAGCTGAGCAGATATCAAAAATAGGTTTTTATAATTGGGGTAAGGGTATTATTATTTGCATAACTTCATAAAAATAGCAGATAGAAAAACTTTTCTCAAATCATTCCATTCTACAAATGACAAATATTTTGATGTAGTGCATGGTATAAGTAAGCCCATACTGTCGTGACTGCGGACTTTTGCTTTAACCGAAGACAAAAAGTATGGGAAAATGCATAAAATATATTGCCTGAGGTTTAATATTTCCCAAGCTTTCCAAAATAGTACTATTTTGAGTACATCATTACATTATCAATTGTATTTAGAAGCCTACTGCTAATTTTGGTCAAAATTAAACAGCTTGTTTGAGTTATGGCCCCTTTTGTGATTGTATTGATTTTTTTCAGATTGGATGGCTGATAACATTTACTTTAGACGTTATGTGATATAGAAAAAACGCACTACTTCTGGCATCTACATCCACTCTTGTGATGACCACCACATATGTGCCTACCATGGTAGCAATGACATTTTTCTAGCTCCTGGTTTACCCCAGTGTACCCAAAATGGGTCCAGGCTGGTAGACTATATTGCACAAATGGTTAATATGTTTTCAATATATCTTGTTTAACACCCTGCATGTGAAGACATGTAACAAACTATAATGTTATAATTTAAATACAAATCCTATCAATCATGTTGAGATTCAGTATTTACATTGGCATTGTGCAAATGTACACTAGTTCACACTGTGTAGGATCCATATTTTTTCTAGTAACCCATTTTTCTGCTAATCTAATTGAAATGTTCTTTTTTTTACATCTAAAATCAAATCAATAATGGCACTGAACAAGCATCCCTGCACTTTCTATTCCTGTAAGTGTTTAAGATTACTATCTAAACAATTTACATTTGAACAGCTCTAATTCCAGCTGACATGGTTTTTCTTTGCAACAAATTCCAAACCTGATGAAGCTTAATTTATGTAAATGCTTCTTTTTTCCCCTACAGAGAAACAGTAATAGCTTTGGAAAGGGTCACATTTTTTAAGATCTTGGACAAATATGTATAGTGATTTGTATTCACTCAAACTATACTTTATTCTCCATTAGTACACTGAACTGTCATTGGGCCAAATCCTGAAGTCTTATCTTACTTTGTATTGACTCTTTGCACTGGCAAAATTGCCATTGATGTCAATAAGAGGTTTATGTGACTTAAGAATTTGGCTTATTATTTATGAGGCCCTATTGGAAGCTGGTTCGAATATGGATAATAGGAAGCTTTACTATAGTAGAGATTAGATTCAGTAACCTTACACAGAATAATTAATAGTTTTATAATGAAAATGAAATGTCTTCTTCATGGTAGAACAATTGGTTTCAATTGAGAGATGCAAATTTGGAAGAGAGAGCATGGGAAAGGCTATGGGTTACTGAGAGGACAAGAAATATGTTAATTTATAAAGTGACCCGGTGGAAGAGTTATGGGGAAAATGAGCAAACACTTAAAATTCAATACAATTAAAACATCATTAAAAATATTGAAGCTAAGTGGAGAGGCATTATTAGAATGTTTTAAAAATACTTTGTACATATGCATGGGGGTGGGGGAGAATTTGGGTTTATGTCTACAAAGTGTCTATTTTCTTAGTTCTGCAAAAACTAAGAAACAAAATCAAGATACCTATGTAATTTGGGTTAATCCATGAGGGATTTATCTTAAAATCAAAAGGTGCCAAACCGTCCAACATTTCCAACCTGTGGAGATTTAAAAAAAAAAAGTTAATCATTTGCATATGCTATCACAATTAATGTGTTAGTTACATTATATAATGTAGTTTACTCTATGAGCTCTTTTAAACAAGATTACAAATCGAGTAATCTGGAATAGAGGAGTTCACAAGTGTCTGTGGTTTGCTGCCAGTGTGTGACGTGGGCTTGCCTTCACACACTGTGTCTATACTCTTATTTAATATCAATTTGACATCAAAAGTGCTCTTAATGACTTCCTAAAGCAATACAGCTAGTCTTTCTGTCAGCCACAAAAATCTTTTTTGAAAAAAATGTTATCTTTCCCTGGTGTTCAGGTTTTCGGTTAGTATATGTATGTCAACTGGTTTGATCAAAAGTGTGAGCCAAACTGGCAACTAAAAATATTTTTATCTATCCAAGTGCTAATTTGTTCATCTAAATGGTAGTTCAGGCACTCTAGCGTGTCTGATGCTGAAAACAGTGCCTACAATATAACTGAGGCCATATTCTAGACTTCTCCCCCTCCTTTGCTCCACCAGGTTGTAAATCATAAATGCCCCATTTATGTTCAATCACATCAATTATGAATGCCAGAAATTCTTACCTAAATGCTGTGAAACAAATGCTTAGGACCACATAGTACACAGTGTAGAAAACTACTACACATATCAACAGGTTCAGCAGCACAATCTGTAAAGAAAAAATGAAATTAAACCTACTTCCTTATCTGCATTTGTTAGGTGGGGTGCCAGGCAAGCGATGCTAGATTTCTATTTAGGAAATATTTTTTTGAATGTTTAAGGGAAAAGAAGTATTTGGGTATGATTTTTTTACCTCATCTTATATAAAGTCCTGAAGTAAATGACACAATGTTGTTATAATGTGTTTTCAAATAACCCAACCCCTAAAATTTATCAATTTTTTCATATTTTTGAAAAGAAATATACAGTGTAATGAACATTCCTTTCTTATTATGTATCCAGAGATTAACTGCTAGAGGCCTATGTAATCAAAATGGCCAGTGGAAAACACATTTCCTGGCAGTTAATGATCAGCAGGAGGAGTTGAGAGCCTAAGAAGAAGATCCAGAGGTTTAATCAAGCCTAGTTATTAACTGCCAGGAAATGCCCTCCCTATAATTGCCATCATGAGGTGTATCTATATATACATATAGAAAACCATACAGTAGTGATGCTTTTATCCTGTCTGTGTCCAGAGATCCATGTGATGCTACTATATAGTTTCATTGACAAGGACATAGACTCTTAAAGGACATCTCTCTTAAAACATAAAACAATTTAAAACTTTATTGAGGCTATTTGTAAAAAAAAAATCCAAGTTTTTGAAAGCAATCATTATCTAATGGTCAAAGCAAAGGTCTGGGGAAAAAAAAGAAGGCTGGATTCCATTCCATGCTTTGCTACAGACTTCCAGAGACACCTTGGGTACATCATCTAATGCCCGTGTTCCTCGCTATCCTCATATCTAAAATTGAGGTAACACTACATCACAGCGGAGTTCTGGGGCTTAATTTGTTAACGTGTTTAAAGTATCTTAAGATCCTCTGGTGAAAGCTGCTAGAGACATGTAAGGTATAATAGTTCACAGATTAGAAGGCCAGAAGGGACCATTGCGATCATTTAGTCTGACCTCCTGCATAACACAGGTCATCAGACTTCCCTGAATTAATTGCTGCAGGTATATTGTATTTTATAGGCTAATATATTTTGATAGTAATAACAGATGCTGGCCACTGGAGTCCACTTTGGTTTCTGTTATTCTCACTATTATGTATGATGTGCTCTGAGGTATCCATTCACCCCTATATTTAAAAAAACACACCTTGAAGTCAGGGATTTGCATGCATAAAAAGCTGGTGTGTGCATTAGTTTCAAATGCACACTTAAAACCAGCAAGCAAAAAAGTAGCACCAGATGTTTACAGCACAGTGTGGTGGGCGGGATCATCCTGGAGCAATAGAGTCAGGAAATATATGTTCTCTCCCTCAACTTCCATATTGTCTAATGTTTTCTTATGCTGGTCAGTGTTTATGTCCCTCCCTTTCCTTTTCTTTAAAAAACAGCTTCTTCTTTCCTCTCACTGTTACCCATTTCAGATTTATCCCCATGTTCCCTCCCATTTTACTTTTTTTCTTCCCCTAATTCCTCCATTTTCATCTCCTGTGTCCTATTGCCTCTCCTCCACTCCTTCCCAGCACTTTCTCTCTTGGCCTCTGCACTCTCTGCAGTTCCCTGTCTCTTTCTTTCTTCACACAGGGGCACCTTTTCCTTCCTACAGAGTCTAACCCTTCTCTTTTCCTCATGTTCTTCGTCTCCCACCCTATCTCTGAGAATAAATATAGGTGTGCATGTTTAATTCTGCCACATGGTCAGGTGTCTGCCTCTCTCTAGCTCTTGCTTTGACAGCTCCTGCACTGTGCAATGACTGAGACAGATACATGCACAGTGGGAGCAGCAGACAATGAGCCCAACCGGAGAAGGCGACTGACATTCACCTACCTGCCTTGTAGTTGGAATGGTGGATGAACATTTGTTTGTTTACTGAACCTAGTTTTTCTTCCATTGCACTCAAAGACCCATACAAAAACCAAAGGGAGATTAGAGCTCTGAGTGTTTTTAGGTGTTTGCTATTAGTATCAACTTTGTACAGAGCTGAAGGCATTTGCAGCTTGGTAAATTCCAGTAATTATTTTTATATTAGTAGGCAAGAAACAGGGTTCATGCTCTGGGCCTAATTCTTCACTGCTTTTCACCTTGGTAACCATTTACACCTGTGCAAAGTGACTGTAAACTGCTAATATTCTGGTAGCATTTTACACCCACTTTGCATAGGGGTAAATGACTGCACAAGGTGCCAGGTGATGGAAAATCAGGACCTCAACATAATCATGTTAATCTTTGTTACCAGGAGCTGTCATCTATCCTGAGGGGAGATTGAGTTCAATCCTACTGGGAACAATAGGAGATGATGCCCAGTTTTGCTTGTTAACCTTTAGCGTAACTCTTATTGAAAGCAATAGAGATGGCAGCAAGTTTGAAAGAGGGCAGTTCTTTGTGGAATTCTTTGTAGAATAACATTCTTCTTCAGCAAGAACTACATATATTCAACAGAGAGGATAGGCAAATCAAACTTGGGGGTAGGGTGAAGGGCAATTTGCAGACAGGAGCGAGAGTGAAGGTAGGGGTTGGCATATGCACAGAAAACTGTGGAGGTCATGAAATGGGGAAAACTAGCCACTTGCTTTGGTTGCTTTGTTCTGATCCAAAGTGTCGTAAAGCAGCCAGAGTAGTCTCGTAAATCTGGCACTAAATGTTTTGTTGTTTGTTTGTTTGTTTTTCTAAACCCACAATCACAAGTTTGGTACTTGAGCTGGTCAGAAATGTTTTTTCCCCACAGAAAATGTCAATGTTTTGTCAAAAACTGACATTTGTATGGTTTGCAGGTTTTGAGGGAAATTTTTGACCAGCCTTGCTTGACACTGTATGCACGGTTAAAAACACACACACAACCTTAACTCTGTCTTGTAATGACAACACAATGAAAAACCTGAACAAAAGTCTGTCTTTAAAATTCAGTTTCATCTAATCTGCAACTGCAAACACAACTATATACTACTTCTAATTTCATGGTTATTGCATGGTATCTCTAGAGGGAAGAATTAGGGTTGTTTGGGTGCTTTAGAAGTACATTTCAGTAACTTAATGTTTGAATTTCTTTTAAATTTAACTTTTAACTCTGAATTAAATATTTGGTAACAGTTGGCTAATGTGTTCTGAGCTGAGTTGTTCAGTTTCTGAAAACTCATTTCTATGAGGCCCACAAATGTTAAGCCTTATTGGCATTATGCCATGAACGTTGCACATTCAGGATCCCAATTTAAAACACTACCACACTGGTGTAAGTTATTTCCATCATCTAGGTCTGCTGGTGAGTTTTAGTCTCATCTATTCCTGTCTTTTAGATAGTCCCTGGCACAGAAGCTAACCATGTCTTCATCTGTGTCTGGTACAGTTCCAGTGCTTAAAAACTAATGGTATGCTGTACAGGGTTTGAAATGAACGACTGCAGGGGGAAATAGTTTCCTTTTTTTATTTACTATATGTGAGGAGATGAAAGGGAATACAAGTTCCTTTCATTTAAGTCTTGCTGGAACTTTTGAACTCCTGCTAGATTCCCACACATTCATAACAATAACCGATAAACAGGAGATTTTTCCTTTCATAACACCGTAATTAAAGAGGCTTAGAGAATTTTCTTTCTTAAAAATTACTTGATATAAATGTTTGCTCTTAACTTCTAGGTAAAGAACATATCTCATCCAGCATATGGAGAACAAGAGCACTATATAATAAATATATGTATTCATTTCATATAGTGCTTTTGTTTTCCATATGCTGGATGAGATTGTGTGTGTGTGTGTGTATAGATAGATAGATAGATAGATCTCTCTCTCCATATATCTTTTGCAGAGGTAAATAGGTCACAATGTCACTTCTGATAGTAGTTTATGTAGATTCATTTAATTTAATGTGGTTATTTACAGGTATGGGATGAGTTAGACTAAGGAAGATTTAGGAGTACGTTTTCAAAGAGATGTATGAGACAGACACAAATCCTTTCCTTTGTTAATAAATCCTGGGCATGTAACATCCAACATTCTGCTCTGTACCTTCACTTCAATGAAAATACCCCTTCTCTTGCAAAAAAAATGATATTTTCTCCCTTTATTTTATTAAGAGTACTCTTCTGTTACATCTTTTCTACTACCTTTAGATGAATCATAGTGTTTGTTTGGTTTCAGCACCCTCATGATCTGACTCACGGAAAGTTGTAGAAGTTTGTTCCTTAAGAGTACATCTTAATACATACTAGAATACATACTAGAAAACTGATCAGCCAATCTAAATGGTAGTTGATAACCTATCAAGACATCTTATGTTGTTATAAGTAATCTGGGGCCATATTATAAGTCTCTGGGGCCATTGAATTTCTAAGATGAGTGTTAGTCTTTTTTAACATCCTTTCTGATCAGAGTGGGGGGAAAAGCACATTAACTAATTATATTTGTATATGACCCTAAGTGAGAACAAGAACAATACAAAGGCATCTAGAGAGGTTACTGGTATGGGGCCTAATCCTGCAAGTTGCTGAGCAATTCTGTAAAATGCAAGACATGCTCAATTCCTAATATCAGCTGAACTGAATTGATATCAGTGGAAGTCAGGAAGCCTCTGTACCTTTCTGGATCATGTCCATGGGCAGGAAAATAAACTGAGTTTCAAACTGGAAAGATGCAAATTGATATAGAGAAAAATTCCAACCAGAGATAATCAGTGGGTGGGAATTCCAGGAAAAGGAGCTATGCAAAAAAAAAAAAAAAAAGACCAAGAAGTGATAGTATTCAGGAACTGGCTATGAACTTGCACTGCAACAGGATGGCAAAAATAGGTGACAGTATGATGACATGTTGCAGCAGAGACCAGAGAGATGAGTCCCTTTCTGTGTGACATTGATGACACCACACGTAGAACAATGTAAATAATTTTAGGCAACACCAGAAAGACATTAACAAACTGGAGGGAATTTAGAGAACAGCACTAAAAATTAATTAAGGGCTGGAATTGACTTCTGAAGAAAGAGTAAAAATTAAATGTGTATAATCGGGAAATGATAATAGTATACTTAATATTTGAAGAGGGACAGGAATTTTTTGGAGTACAATTAAGTGTCATGGGAGGAAACAGAGCTGGTCAAAAATAAAAATTCATGAGACATTTTGAAATGTCAAGTTGTTTCCATTTTGTGGAGATTAAAGGGGACTCATTTTATTTTGATCAAATTGTTCAGAAAGAATTTGATCAAAATCAGTTACTGAATATTTTCATTTCCCCTAAATAGGATTTTTGGCAAGCAGAACATTGGATTGTTCTTAAAAAAAAAACTTTAAATATGTTTTCAAATGTTGCTAACACATTTACCCAAAACCAAAAAAAGGAAAAAAGTCAAGTTTGTAACATAATTTCTTAGTTTTGAAAAAAGGCTATTTTCCAATAAAATTCAGTCACTTCCAAAACTTAATTTATTTTGGTAATTATTGCTAGATCTTTTTGAATGATCTTCTACATAGTGGAAATCATGCCTACAGAATGGGGGGACGGTATCCAGGAAGTAGTCACTCTGAATAGAATGTAGGGGTAGTACTGGACAGACAACTGAAGATGAGCTCCCAGCATGATGCTGTGGCAAAAAGGGCTAATGAGATATTTGGATGTATAAGCAGGAGCAGTGAGTAGGAGAGGGGAGGTGATTTTTACCTTTGTATATGGCATAGGTGAGACCGATACTGGAATACTGCATCCATTCTGGTGTCCACAATTTTAAAAGGCTGTTAGAAAAGGTACAGAGCAGAACCACAGAAATGATCCAAGGTCTGGAAAAAAATGCCTTTCAGTGAAAATTTAAGGAGCTTAATCTGTTCAGTTTTCCAAAAGAAAGATAGAGAGGTGACTTGATTTTGCATGGGGAGAAAACAGCACGTACTAAAGGGCTCTTTAACTTAGTGGAGAAAGGCATAACAAGAGCCAATGTCGGGGAACTGAAGCCAAATTCAAATTAGAAATAAGGCGCACATTTTTAACAATGAGGATGATAACCATTGGAAAAAACTACCAAGGGAAGTGGTGGATTCTCCATCTCTTGATGTCTTCACACCAAGACTGGATGCATTTCTGGAAGATATGCTTTAGCTAAACATGTTATGCTCTTAGTCAAACACAATTTATTAGGCTCACTACAGGTGGATGGAATGCTATGGCCCGTGATATACAGAAGGTCAGATTAGATTATCTAATGATCTCTTTTGGCCTTAAAATCTTTTAATGTTTGAGTTACAAAGCGCTAGAGAATATAAAGAGAACAATCCTGCATTGGCAGAATCATAGGCAACATGAACCTAACATTTTTTCAGAAGGAAAGCAAAATAAATCATGTATTCTGGTGCATGGCTTTCAATCCAAAAACTTTTGTCCTAGCGCAGTACAACAAAAAGCATGCCCATCATGTCTGAAGCAGGTTGAATTTTTTTGTCAATCTTTTATAATTTTGTGCACCAGATAAAGTCAAAAATAATCTCATCCCCTCCCAACCAGTCAATGAAACAAGCAAGTAAAATTCCTTTGTCTTGTACAGACTGAAACCATAACTTCCCACTTCTACCCTGTGGCACTTCTCCAAATTAAAGTTGGCTAAATATCTCTTATGATCTGGTCAATTCCATATAATCCTCCAACTTTTGCTTAAATGTAATATTATGAGACTTCACTGCGTCCCCTGGCAGTCTATCCACCATGCTACAAAAAAAAACAAACCCCAAAAAACAAAAGTACAATCTTTAGGACAATTTTGTAGATGTAGTTTACATTGCACTTAACTAATTAGATATGCATTTCATGGAGGTCTTAACTTTATATTAGCAGCTGAATTAGGATGGCATTACATCTTATCAGCTGCGATGCAAGATTGTACTGTAATGAAAGCTGTGATGCAGGGGGAGAAGCCATGGACTTAAGTGAAAATATCAGCTCCGGAGGAAAGGTGTGAGCTGATGTCTTGTTGACCCTTACATATCCTCAGTTAAATTCTGACCCTATTGAACTTCATGACAAAACTCTCATTGACTTCAGTGGGGCCAGGATTTCACCCTTTGTCCCCAGCATATCCTTAGCCACTACTTCAGGAATGGAGTAGTCTGTTATTTTGCCTTGATTATGCTCAAGTAGGCTAGGGAAATGCATTTACTTAGATGCCAGGAATTTACCACTAAAAGAATGACATCAACAATTAAAGCTCTGTCCAGAAGTATTAAATTCTGCTTCAGTTTTTAAAGAAGTATTTTGCCATTGAAATTTAAATGTAATTGTTAAAAAGTCTCAAAAATCCAACATTTAAAGTTCCACATATTTCCCCCCTTTTTAAAATATCCATTAAAAATGCATTTTCTTTAAAAGTAAAACCCACAAATAAATTGTGAGGGTCATAGAGTTATTTATTTAAATGTTTATGCAATTTAAGGAAAGAATGGAAGAACCTGAGGTGATATCTTGGAGAGCTCAAGGTTAGGGTTTTATTAGGCATTTATAAGAATTATATCAGCAAACTGCACCCTCTTTACATCTGTATCAGATGCATGTTGTAGTATTCACTATCAGCACTATAAAGGAGGTAGTGCACTTTTCACTTGCTTTTTCAGAAACTGAAAACTGGAAAGTATGCTGTCACAATAAAGGCAACTGTTTTTGTTTTAAATGCCTACTGTAACTGCGTAATGTCATAAGTACTATAACATGACCTAAAATGTAATACAAACTCAGTTCTTTTTACCTTGGTCTCAGGAAGATTGATCTTAAGAGCCATGTACGCATCATAAGTAAAAGGAAGTGATGCAGTTACGTTCCTTATGTCAATGTCAGCTGGAAAAAGAAGCTATTTTTCACTCAAAAAGTGCTCCTGTAGGTGCAGTATAAGACTGAGTAAAGCAATGTTATTGGATTAAACTGGACCAAGACACAAGCCATCTGTGAGCTAACTATAAGCTGCTGTGGCCCAAACAGAAAATCCTTCCTAGCTCATTAAATACTCATACTGTTTGTAGAGATGGTCAACCAAAACATGTATGTCTCAATCAAGTCTGCAAATAGAAAGCAGCAAATGATAATTTCTATTTTCTATGCAATGTTCTTTGATTACAGTTAATAGCAGTTTTAAAGTCTCCCACCTCCAATTAGTTTTACAGTCCTTAAAATTAATTTTATACTCCTATTTATTTTAAATCTGGAAGGGTACATTCTTTTTGTTCTTTGTTAGCACTTTTCTGAAAGCTACACTGTATTACATCAGCTAGAATTCACATTTAATCAGGTATGGTTCTGTTCTGTTCTGTGAAGAAATGCTAGTCTTGTGATATTGTCTTTCTCTTTTTCCTGAATCTTATTTTGTTCTTGGGTGACATGGAATTTAGCAGGTTTTGTAGCAGATCCATCCATTACTGAGCAGTTCTTTAATGGATTTGGATTTCAACTTTGACAGGTGACAGCTTGCTATAACATAGCTATATCTATTTTTAGGGATGAGACCATACAATGCAATGGTTCCAGAAGCTGAAAATGAATGGATTATTAATTGAATTTCTTTACCGTCATTAAAATCTGAGAAATTATCATTAAAATTTTTGGATTTTTATGAGACAAAATTAAAATGATTTATTTTAAAACATAATCTATGCTCTACAAACAAGAGTTCCTGCATGTGTATTACACCTCTCATGGTATGTGTAATCTCACATTGTAAATACTGTAGGGAAATAGTTACATTTTTGTGGGAAATTCCCCCCAATGCCAAAGGCCAACACAATGCCTATGCATCTCTTAAGGCCTAATTTGAGGATATAAACAGTGCCCAGAACTTGTTCTGGACCTACAGGAATAGGTTGTAAACAAGCATAACCTGGAATTAATTCACATAAACTGTAGGATTAAATAGCAAATTAATTAGTAAAAATCATAATGAATTAGTTTGTAATAATCTGACTGTTTGCAAACAGAACAAAACTAGTTTTTTTTCACAAGGAACGAATTCAACCAGCCCCAAATTATAAACTGAGAACTAGGTGCCCAACTCTCATTGAAATGTAATGGAAGTTGGGTGTCTAGTTCCTTAGGCTTCTTTGAAAATCCTAGGTTCAATTTACTTTACACAGTGTCATAAATGTTAACATTTTTAGTAAGGTGGCAGCCTGAGGTAGACTCAGAAAAGCCAAATATTCATAGAATGCCTTTGATCCTAAACAAGCCTAAAACACTTAATAAGCTATATACAGACACTGCCACTGATATGATTGTAGTCAGGTGACACGAAAAATGCTGCACCACAGGGAAATTTTTCCGAAGACTCTTATGACAATCCCATGGCATTTTCATATATGTCCACATAGAATCCAGATCTTGTCTGCCTTGAGGTGTCTTAAATATGTTTGTTTATTCACAGTGAAAAAAGTACAGATGGGCAATTTTTTTTTTTGATGAATAGTAATGCACATTTTGGATCACCAAATCTATTCATAAATTTGAGTTGAATTTGTGAATAATTTCAGCTGAAAAATATTGGATTTTTTTTTAAAGTTGAAATGAGTCATTTCATCTGTTTCAGAATGAAACATTGAATTTTCATTTCGGAACAGCCTTTTGTTTAGAAATTGGGCTTTTTTAAACAAACAAATTTGAAGGTTAAAAAAAAAGACCTAAAACAACAAGAAAAAAAACTGAAAAAAATATTATTTCAGATCAAACTAAACATTTTTTTGTTTCAGCAAGAATAAGTGGGGGAAAATCAGTTTAGATTCAAACCGAACCATTTTTTTTTCTTCAGATTTTTCAGATTTTTCTGCCATAATGAGGCAGAGTGGCCTCATTCCAGTACAGAGGGGGGATTAAATCACCCTGTTGGGCTCAGCAAATTCTGTGCCACCCCCCTCACAGGAAGTGTGGGGGCGGGGCAGTAAGTATAAGAACAGGGCCCTGCAGCTCAGTTGGAGCCAGCCATCCCTCCCAGGGAGCAGAACTGCCAGCAGAGCCCATGACCGGCTGTGGCAGATGATGAATGCCCTGAGCCAACCTGGAGAGTAGACAAACAGCTGCCCCAGGAGATGGAAAATCCCGAAGAGGGAGTGGAAAGCAGGCTCCCCAGTAAGGAGACTGGGAACCAAGTCCCAGCACCCATGAAGCGGCCCCACCAAATGCTGATAGGAGGTAGCCCAGGAGAATGAGACACTGGGTCCTGTTGTGGTGCCGAGAGGTGAGGCAGCGACCCCATATTTTCCCATCATCCCTGCGATGGGTTCACCTGTCACTTCTAGGTCTCTGGGCTGGGACCCAGTGAAGCAGGGTGGGCCTGGGTCTCCCTACCTCCAGCCCCACACTCGAACCCTGAGATCGAAAGCCTGAGCTGCTGGTTCCTCGCAGCCAATCAGGCAGTTCGGATATAGCTCACCTGTGTTCATTAGTCTGCCTGGAGAGTGAGCTAGCTAGTCCCATGCTTAGCTGCAGGCCTTCATTCCTGACACCTTCCTAACTTGCTGTCCAGACGTATTGTTTATACATTTTATGAGTATTTCATATAAGCCCACAATTGTTCATAGTTTGGTCACAAAACTAGTCAATAACTAAAGGAACCATTCCTATAGTCATACTACATATATATCTCACTGAAGTTAATGTATGTTTTGTGCTATGCAGCTAGCAAGATATGGCCTAAGATACAGAGTTAAGACCAGAAGAGCACTTGTTTGGTAATGTCAATAAACTAAATATACCTAAATTAATGGACAGATCTGTAAATATAGAAATTCAATAACATGGAGGCACTAAAAAAGAACAAGGGTCAACCATGTGGAGATTATCCAGATTCTGTGATGGAAACTTGCTAATGTTACTAAAGGATGGCAACATCAGAACACATGTACAGCTGTCTCCATCTGCGGATAGGGAGGCTCTACACCTACACATCTAGAGTAGCAGAATATAACTTGAAAAGGAAATTTTAGTACCTGCTAATTTTCTGTTTTTGTTCTAGTGACTGGCAGATTCCGGCAGCACAACTGAGGGAACATGGTGAAAATGCATGTTTTAAGAATAATAGTCAAATTTTATTTAATCTGTATGTTGAATCACTATCCGGGATTAGTTTAGTTTATAAAACCACAGACTTCTTGGTTGTGACCTATTGCCGATGAAGGTTGGCATGTGCCCAGGCCACCCAGATCAGGATGGACAATTGGGTTGTTTTTTTTTTTTTTGTAGTGTTGGCAGGTTGTACCTTCATATAACATATTTTAATATATTCTTCCCCCAGGTTGCTGGTGAGTGTAGTTTGAAAAAGGCTAGGAGAATGAGAACTGAAACAAAGTGTTCTTTTGGTGAGTGGGTCTGCCTGAGGCCAGCTCTAAGGGAGACTGGCACTGTTGGGTGAGGGCTCTGGCTGCATTAAAATTTTGTTGGACTGTTTTAGGCAATGTGGTCTTGCCTCAGTCCTTCAGATGCCTTTGATGTTACAGTATGAAGGAGGCTTCAATATACTCTGAATTATGTTAATAAGATGTGGCTATCAGGCTCAAAAAAAGTGTTCAATTTGGCCTCTACTGAGGACACCTCATGATCTCTACTGCACCCAAGAAGTTAAAAGAATCAAACTTAACTCATAAATGTCAGCATACATTTTTCATTTACAACTTGCAAACAAATAGGATTTTTTTTTTTTTAGTGAAGAATAACCCCAGTGGGTTATCTGTCCCTAAGGAGTTGGCTTAATAGGAAAAATAGAAAACAGCATCTTTTGTTTGGTTGGTTACTGACATTGCTGGAATTACACTTTCTCTGAACAATTTAAATGAAGGCTTTGAAAGTGTTGGTTGAAGAACTAATTTCGTAGGAGTTATTTGTTCAAATGTAGAAGTAAATTTTGTCGTTTGTGAAAGGTGCACTATTAACAGCACTGAAAATGAAGTCTTCCGTTTATCCAGAGAGAGGATATAGTACTGTTGCCGTAGTGAAAACTATCTACACTGGCTCCCTCCTGTGTGCCTAAACCCAAGTTAATTATCCATGTCAGAAAATTCAATATTTGGCATTTCTGCTGAGATTCCAACCAATATACTAATTATCATAGGCCCAAATTCTGAAGTCCTTATTTTATTCTGACAGAACTCCCATGGGTGTCAGGGGGAGTTTTTATGAGGAAGGACTAAGGAAAAAATTAAGGAAAGGGCTTCAAGATTTGGCTCACAAAAGAGAAGAGATGTGGGTAGCAAAACTGTTGCTACCTGCTCCATTCCTCTGACAAAGTTTGCTTCTCTCCTTGGTTTGGCAGAGCCAGAATCTGGCTGTAAGGACATGGTGGGAGTGAGAATGGGATATATTTGTTATGCTGAATACCTTAAGGGAGTTCTATTTTCTGTTAATGTTTGCTAGTTAATACTGGTATTGTTTTTAATATTTGTGCATGCGCCCAGAAACAACTGTGGTGGGCACAGTTTTAAAGTAAACGAATAAAATATAGAGCCTTGAACCTGTAAATAGCCAGTTCAAATCCATCCTAGGTTGGTAGTGAGTGGAATTTACTACCATAGGATAGTTGTAGAGACTATGTGAAAAGGCCTGGAACACTCCGTCTAGTTTATATTACACAGGTGCCCTGGTACAAAAATACACTGCTATAAGCACCGCCCTTTTTGGCACTCTAAAACTAGAAGTCAAGGTTGATCAGGCATGAATTCCTTTTTTTATTCTTCAAGGTGGTCCCACCAACTCAAGCTGTGAGGCACATTGGTAGGACAATATTGGGAAGCTTGCACTGTCAATACC